GTCACTCTTTAAAGGAAATGCAAAATTGCTTTGCTGGGGAGAATAGCAAGGGGCATTCTGAAGAGGTGCTGAAGATGTGAAAATTCAGAGTGGTGATTGGTCACCTCTGCTTGATTGACAGGTTGCAGGGAAAAACAAAAACCCATTTGTTCTGGCTTAATGGAACTGGAAAACAGAAAATGAGTATCAGGTAAAAATTCCTTTTTTAAAATCTTTGCAGTTCTCCTTTAAAAACTGGAGTTAAAGCTACAGCAGTTGCAGCCTCCCCCCAGCAGCAGGGCAGGAGTAGGGCCGCAGAGGAGGAGGCAGAGGCCGAGGTGCGTGGTGCGGGTTGTCGCGTCGCGCGCTGCAGCGGGCAGGTGTCCCGCAACACCGCGGCCGCCCGCGCGTCCGGGCTAGCTTAGCGCCAAGGCCGAGGCCTGCACGGTGCAGGGCCTAAGGCCCTGCGAGGACCCAGCTCTCTGGTTAGGCTCATGAGCAGGACGTTCAAGGGGAAGCTTTTATTCTTCCTTCCTATACTGTGCCTGCTTTGTGGATAAAGTCTGTCCGTTTTCTACTACTATCAATTTGGCATTTTTCATGAGTTTTATCACAAATTTCACTAAAAAGTGAATGGCTAAAATGTAATCTATGTGCTAAAGTAACTTCCATCTATCAATATACCGTTGTACAGATTTTATGTAATTTTCAACATCGCCACAGTTTTGAGAATCATAATGTAAAACAATTTCTTTCTGGTAACTTAATTGTTTTGTATGTTGATGTATTTCAGATTGAAGGACAAGGACACGGTGCGGTTTTTGACTGCAAGTGCTCTCCTGATGGACAGCATTTTGCATGTACCGATTCTCACGGTCACCTTCTGATTTTTGGCTTTGGTTCCAGTAGCAAATATGACAAGGTACAGTGCAAGATGAAAATCTTTTTTTTTTTTTGGTTTTGTATTGAATGTATTTGTGCATACTTCAGAGTTTCATTTTAAGAAGATGTATCTTAGCATATTTTTAAGCCATGAATATGGGATGCTTCGGATTCTTTAAATTACAGAAACATACTATGAAGCTATTATTGTTTGCATGGGAGTCACAAAAAGAATCAGAAGTCATTGCCCTTCTCTGAAGTGAGGGGTCTACAGGATTGTAGTAACTGATCTTCATGGATAAAGTAACTAGACTGAAGTGAAATTGATGTTAATTAAAGCTCGTTGGACTTCAAATTCTGATTATGACTAAGACAAAAGGTGGGTTAGAGTGGGGGCCTTGTAATAAATCTGATACCTGATATTTGTTACTATGCATTCTAGTGATACAGCTTTATTTTATGTATGCATAAGTCATTCTGTAGGCATGGATGTCATGAGGATTAAACAGCAATATGAAATTAAAATAATATATCTGTACCCTAATATCATAGTTACCATTGTGTATTCTACATTTGGGTGACTTGTCGCAGACCCACCTGACGCTAAAGGTTTTTCTTTCTTCCAATGGTGCGTTGTTGATGCAGCCCTAGGAACTGTATGGTCCCTAGTCTGGAGGCCCACGGGTCCCTGTGCTGCTGATGCCTGACTGTTGGTCAGGTGCTGGATTCTGCTTTGCATCTTTGAACTTGGGCCAGTTTTCAAAGCGCCGCATGGGTCTGGTCTGAAGGAGAGAAAGCAAAAGGGATTTTAATCTTTGTCTTGTAAAGCACTGCATTTCTGTTGCAGGTCCTCAGTTCTTATCTTGATAATAGTTACAGCAATGTTAAAACAATGAGGAAGGAAAACTAGCGTTATAGGAAGATGAATCTCAAGGTCTTCCTGCCTTTCGGAGTTGTACTCTTCCAGATTTTAACCTTGTTATGATAGAAATATTTCTCTCACCATAGTCCGTAGATTGTTCCAGGTCTCCTTTTCTCTCTGACTGTTTTGGAACTGTGTAGTGCTCTTCAGTTCAGAAATGTTGCAAATGGAAATGATTCCAAGAGCCTTTTTGTCTCTACTGTGGGAGGCCGCGAGTTTCCTTTACACTGCCATTTGATAAATTAATTTTTGAGGGATTAGATCTGTTTCAAGAAGGAAAACAGCATTTTCCACTTTTTAAACTGTAGAGACCCTTTGTTCCCTGAGATTTTCTCTGCGAAATTGTTTCAAAGTTTTCACTTAACAGGTGATTTAAAATGATCTTCCCCAGTTTTAATTGTACCACAGTATTCTTGCCATTATTGACCATAGAAGGAATGGGAAGAAATAGAATTTACTTTTTTTTTTTTTTTTTAATCTGTCATTGACTGTCAGAAAATTTATCTCAGTTTTTAGGTCTTTTTTATTGCCTAGTTCCATTTCCTTTCACTTTTTTTCTGACCTGCTTTATGAAAAAATGTAGCTAAAGACTTGGGGTAGTGCTTTCTGCGTCTTCATCTCCCCCCTGCCGCTTGTTTTATTTTGACATCTTATGAGAGTATATTGTGGTAGAGGATATGTTTGGGGCTTTAAAATGATTTCCATGCGTTTTGAGGAAGTATTTTTACAGGGAAAAGGAGTGTGATAACCGGTCCGTTGACACTTGTCCTGTTCTGTCCTGTGTTTGCAAGTTGTGCTCAAGATGACAATTCTAGCCAAAATCATGTTGGTGCTGCTGAAAGAGATTTCTTGATCTACGCACATATTTTTGCATTATATTCAGATAATATCTGTACTTCCAAGTTCACTAAGACTGCGGTCTGTGTAAGCCTTCCTTCCTGCCTTCCTCCCTTCCTCCCTTCCTCCCTCCCTTTCTCCCTTCCTTCCCCCCCTTCCCTCCTTCCAACTTACTACTGCTTTTTTTCCCCACCTAGGAAACATTTTCAGTATGATCTTGGCCATGGTGATGGGGTATATTGTTTTTTATATGGAGGGATGTGACATATTCTAGGGAACAGTGCACATTTATTGCTTGCTTTGGACTCCTTTGGCCTTTGATGCAGTTAAGGAGATGTTGAGCCAATCTCAGCTGAGATTCCTGAACTTCTGTAGTTTATTGAAGATGAGTTGAGCTCAGTTAGGGCATGTGTATTCCAGGAGCCCCTTGCTTAGGTGACGAATTTGTCAAGGATGTCTAGCTACCTGAAAGCATAAGGCACTTTTCAGTTAATTTAAAATCTGGGCTCCGTCTCTGAGCCATCCAAGGCCTTAGGTCCTTTAGACAACCCAAACTGTTGTTGAGCAACTGTTTCTTGTTGCAGGTTATCTTGTGGCAATGTACAGGTCTGCTGATTTGGAGGAGCTGGTGGTTCTGAACATGTAATTGCTAAAGCAAAGGACCTTCCAATCTGTCTGCTGGAGCTCAGATATCTTTTAAAAGCTTTCCCAACAGCAACCAAGTTGGTTTTGAATATGTAGGAGATACTTTGCTGGTATAGTATCTTGTTTTTGTCAATAAGTTGATCTCCAAAAGTAGAAGAACAAGATCAGCTTGTTAGCGTTTTTAACAGGTTCAAGTCTGCTGAACATGTGGGAAACTGAACATCAAGGTTCCCTAATTCATCCTGCAGGACACGTGGCCCGAGGACAATCTCTTATGCTGGCGTGCGTCTCTGAGCCCCAGACTCTAGCAGAGCTTTTCTTTCAGAGTTCTGCTTAGAGCTGCTTTGAGCCTGGAACTCTGTTAAATGCCGTTCTTATCTCACAGAGTAGAAAATTGGTACTTGTTGCACACTTGCTTGCAGTAAAGAGTACACAGGAAGGTAAATGCAGATAAGTCCCTGTAGGTCTTGCACTAGAGACTGCTCTGGTATGAGGACACTGAATCCAAGATGATGAGATCCTCTCGCCTTGCTTACAAAACCTGGTGGGGTGCAGAGAGGGCTGTACAGCCTAATGACCACAAAACTGGCAGCCTGTATGATCCTGCCATCAGAACTGCTGCTTTTTCACTGTGCAAAGCACTTAGTAATAGGAAGATTGCACTAGATGAAAGTACTAGATATTCTACTGTTATGATTCTGCACAAAACCTCAAGTCCTCCTAGAGGACTTTTCTTCATCATTCTGAGCAAGTTCTTTGAGCTGAAGGAGCATAGTTGTTAAGCTCGTCTTGATGAAACAAGGTTTCTGTTGATGAAATATGATGGTTTACCTCCTGAGAGTGCATGTTATCTTTTTCATTTCATTCGTTCTCTCAAGTTAGTAGAGAATCTGGCCATGATACCTATTCCAGTCAGGGCATCTTATTCACAGGATGTGATCTTGTCCGTGTGCACTCAGTGAGAGGAGCCCTGAAGTAAGTTCTTTGCCATTGCATCTCCCTGTGCATCCCTCCAGTTTTCTTGCTTGGGCTGCGCTTTTGAACAGTCTTTATTTTTTTGGACAGCATCGAGAGCTTGTGTGACAGGTGATTCTTATGTGTTCTTTACTTGTGTCATTTAGGTGCATGTAAGCACCTCGGATTTCTTTTTGATATTGTATTAGGTGCTAATCATCATCCTTCCTTCCTGATCGTCTCTCGTCTAGAACTGGGTAACTTGGCGTTGACATAACCATGTCTAACTCACTTCTGACTTAAAAATTACAGGAAATTGATATGAACTGGGTTGTGATAGACATACTCTGCACAAGTCAGAACAAATTCTATCAGAATTTGGGTATTTCTGTGTCCAAACTCAAATATCTGTCTCTAAAACCTATGACAAGATTATTTGGAGCTCTGCATACAGTTTTGATCAATTGTTTAATCATTTTTATGCTGCACTGGAAGTCTGCTTTCATTGTCATTGTGTGGAGTATTATTTGTTTCAAGTTAAGTTGTCTACATGAACTGTCTCTCAAAGGGATTTACTTTCCAGGGAGTAGTGTTGGGATGTGTACTCTATCTGCCATTCTCATTGCTGTCTACTTTCTCTTCTCTCCTTGTACTCCACTATGTCTCTGATTGCAAGATGCTGAGATGCATGTGCCAGCAAGGGGGGTGAGCATAAGCCTTTGGCTGGACAAAAGTATTCCACAGTCCTGAGTGCCTGTGGCAAAGTCACCTAGAATTAGTTGTGAGGAAATGGCTAAAATTGAAAACAAAGCTTTGAATCTGAAGAATTCAGCTTTTTTTTTTTTTAATCTAGTGAAACTTTTTTTTCAAGTATAAGAATATGTGCATTTCCCTGTTCTTTAAATACTTCTCACCCTCAAACCTTTGGGTTGCTCTCCCCATAGTGTAATACATAGCGTAGTCATTACTGGGAAAAAGAAAAATAAATAAAAAAAACCAACAACAGAGGCTTGCTAAATTTTCCCATTTAAACTGAATTAAATAGATTAGCTTGTAACATTGTTTTCAGAGAGGTGACTGTCAATAACAGTGTATGGATACTTTGGCAGACCTGCTTTGTATGCTTTTTTATAGGCTCTTTAAAAATCACACAATTACTTTTTTACAGATAGCAGATCAGATGTTCTTTCATAGTGATTATCGGCCCCTTATCCGTGATGCCAACAATTTTGTCCTGGATGAGCAGACACAGCAGGCTCCACACCTGATGCCTCCCCCATTTTTGGTTGATGTGGATGGCAACCCTCATCCTGCAAGGTACCAAAGACTAGTTCCTGGTCGAGAGAACTGCAGGGAGGAGCAGCTTATTCCTCAGATGGGAGTGACATCTTCAGGTATGGAAAAATCCAGTGCAGTATACAGTATTCCTGCTACCTCCAGGTGTTCTCCCCCTTCCTTCTCACTTGTGCTTGTGCTTTTTCCTTCATCCTTAATAGTAAGAGTTCATATAGCATTTAAGAGTTGTGTGGCTTGGGAGTTGCTATATAGGAGCAACTGCATTGTGCTTGTGAAAGCTTATGTACTGTCCTCATTCAAGTTAGTACTAGCTAACACCACAGATGCTTAGAGCTCATAATTTCTTTATTGAAATGGTTTAAGGTGCTGAGTGAGCTTTCAGTTGATCTTTTGTGGGTAAGACTTCCTACTTCAGAGAACCTAGGAAACAAACTGATGAGATAACAGCTGCAAGAAGAGGAAAGTGGGTGGATACCTGACACCTCCTACCAAACCTTCCTCTTCTTGAAGAATTTCATTCAACTTAAGCTTTTTTTTAACTGATTGTTCAGTTAAATATCTCTCAAGATGCAATGAAGATACAAAAACCTGGGTCATCTTGATCCTGCCCCCACAAAATTTAGTGGAGTAATATTAAGAAAAATATCTGATTTAAAAAATGAGACTCTCAACGTATATATTAGCCCATACTTAAACATGTGATTATATACTGTACTTACAAATTTCAAGGCTAAGATGTAGCTAGTGAGTTTGTAGCTCCTGGGGAGGAAAAAAAAAGAAAAAATTGTGACTTTCTCTTGCTATTTTACTTCACAGGATTGAATCAAGTTCTTAGTCAACAAGCAAATCAAGAAGTTAGTCCATTGGATAGCATGATTCAAAGACTTCAGCAAGAACAGGATCAGAGACGTTCTGGGGAGGCAGGAACTAGCAGTACCAGCCGGATAAGCAGAGGTAAAGTACTGACTCCTTTTTGTTTTGTTTTTCTTATTTAAACAGCTAACAGTTGGAAAACGTAAGTCACATATTATTGTGTATGAGGTGCATTTTATTGAACTACTAGAAGGGAAATTTGGAGCCATAGAAAATAGTACAACTTTCCCATCCTTTTTTGTCTTTCACAAAAAAAGAATTCTTAACCTCAAAATTGTTAGCATTACAAAGTTGTAATAGCTGCTGTGCCCTCCCAAGGAATTTGCAGCAACTGTGTTCCCTTAGCAATTAAAAACTATGCTCCTGTTTAGTCTGGAGTTGGCCAGCTACTTGATGGGAATCTGAATTGTGAGAAATAACCAAAGAAAAAGGAAGATAGAAAAAAGGAAAGAGCTTTTTGTTTCTCCGTATAACTATTTCACATTCCAATGTCTAGCAGTAGGTTTCGCAGTAAACTTCAATTCCAAAGAATTCATTGTAGTAAACCCACCTGAGTGAGTGGGTTTGCCAGCAGAGCTAAAGTATGCAGAAAGATTTGGAAACATGTTTAATTTCTTTTTTTAGCATAGGTGCTTGAAGTATCGTGTTTTTTGTGTTTTTCTTTTTTGTTTCTTTTGATTATTTTAATTTCTTGTTGGCAAAATTTACAGCTTCAATTCCTAATAATTTCCAGTGTCATAGCTTCAATTTTTTTAGAAGGTAGTGAACTTTGTATTTAAGGAATATCCAGATTAAGTAAAATAGCTCAGCATATCACAAAATGGATCTGCAGTGCAGCAGCAAGAATCGGCTTTTTGTAAATGTTTTCAGAAGCACTTTTAAAGAACAGTGAATCTGTGAAATAATTTGTTTTACTTCAGAGTATTGATGGTTTCAGCTGCTCTTCAATATGAATTTTTAAGCTGTACTGCGGCTCCATAGATTTGTAAGAAGTTTGAGTTTCGAAACTACAGAGGTTATTGCAACTGTTCTATTCAATTAATATTTTCTTTCTTCTGAAATAATAGAGTTTTTTTTTCTTTCATTTTGCATTTAGAATTGTAGATCTAATACAGCTATGACTTTTGGACTTTTCAGGCTCTATAAGCTCTACCTCAGAAGTGCACTCACCACCAAATATCGGGCTGCGGCGCAGCGGGCAGATTGAAGGTGTGCGCCAGATGCACAGCAACGCGCCGAGAAGTGAAATCGCCACGGAGCGGGACCTGGTGGCCTGGAGTCGAAGGGTTGTCGTGCCTGAGCTTTCTTCTGGAGTAGCTAGGTAAACAGAGGCCTTCCAAATTTGCAGTGGATTTTAGTTTGGTAAATTTAATTGAACTGTTTTGGGATGCGTGTTGCTACAGTTCGTATTTTGTGGTACTTAGCTGCTCAGTGGTCTCATTATTAACATCGGTTTCAGTGTGAAATCATCTGTTGTTTCCATGACATTTGAAAGGCTTGGAATTACCAAAGCATCATGCTGATGGAGCATGTGAGAGAGCAGCTCAGCTGGTATATGCATTGGGATCTAACTGCTGCTTTTAGCATAAGAGATTATGGTGATTTGATGGCATCAGTCCCTGGCATTTTGTAGCCTTCACAGAAGGCTGATGGCATTGACCTAATCCAGCAAGTGCCTAAGATGAAATTCCAAACCTCTCTGCGGTACTTTTATTTCTTTTAGTAATAGACTCTTGTGACAAATGCATTCCTGAGTGTGGCAAGTAGGGATTTCTTGTTTTACTGATGAAAGTAAACTGCTCTAGCTTTCTGAAATACAGTTGTAATTATTAACTATCCAAATGCTTTTTGAATGTTTAAAATTTAAAAAAAATCTTTTGATTAACTGGTGCCCCGAGTCACTGTGCTGCTGTAAAGACGCAGGTTTCCTTTGAATTTAGAAGCTGCTATCCCATAAATGGCTAAGAAACAGCACTTTTCAGTCATGTTTTTTAGCCTTGTGTTTTTCAGATATTGTGTGGCCATTTCTCCTGAATCTTGATTTTGAATTGAGAATCATAGATTTGGAGATAGTTAAGTCAGACAGATATCCTTTAAACACAACATAGCAGGTATTCAGTACTTGCCATTTTAAATTTTACTATGTTCAGAAAGGATGACTTTGAACCTGAATTCTGACTACTGCTACTCAAAGAATATTAAAAGCACTGAACATTTGTTCCATGGCTGGAAGAGTTATTCTCTGCTGTAGTATTTTGCTTTGAAGTTAACATCTCAATTTTCTTTTTCCAGTAGGCAAGAAGAATGGCGAACAGCAAAGGGAGAAGAAGAAATAAGGGTTTATCGGTCAGAAGAGAAGAGGAAGCATGTAATAAGTCACGTTCAAAGAGAAAACAAAATACCTACTTTCTCTAAGGTAAATAGCCACTTGTACTTTATTATTGCAAGAGCCATAATATTTAGTTCGGTGTGTTTAGGTCACATGAGTTTACATTATTTTTCTCGTTTCCAAATGAGGATTTTTTTTTCATAAATTCAAAAAGCAGGAACACAGAAATATATGTTTACCTTCCCAGAATGAGGCTGTTTGTTGATATTTAACTATATTCTAAGTAAGCAACTGAGATTGCTTTTAGAAGTCCTTAAGTGAGAAGACCTGTAAGTCTGGTATTGGAGACTGTTGGAAGATTGCTGTTGGGAATATGTCCTGTTGACCAATACATCCTGCTACTCTTTTTTAGTATTTGATGTAAAGCATTCTGTGGAAAGGTTTGATTAAAACTTAAGTCAGAGTCTTTAATTTGAATAAATTTAAGCACATAACCCATAACGAATAAAGAATCAGGTATTTTCTACCATGGTACCCTCATAATTATGGTGCTGTTTTGTATGGGATTTTGCAAGCCATGTATTTTACTAGAGCCACCAGTACTTTTCTCAGAGGAAACAGAGGACTGAATAGATGAAAACCATAGGGAAAAGTGATTTGTATTAAAAATCAAACTTGTCATCATAATTGACTTGGTGTTCTTATAACTTTTACGCATTTGTATTTATAAATTAGGGTTATTGGTGCATCTCGTGATTCTCTGTTCTTTCCTAGCTACACTTACCAAATTTTGCAATTAAAGTAGTAAATGTTAAAGAACCTGTAAAGGAGAAGTGTTTGGTTTTTTTTTTTGTTTTGTTTTGCTTGTTTGTTTGTTTTTTAATAACTTGGTAAAAATGAACTGCTTTGGGTGTTGTAGTACTATTACAGTGCTATAGACGATAAAGTTTCACCTTAACTTAAAGGGTGAAGATTAATAAAACACTTGCCTGCAAATTATCCTTTGAAAATAGTAAAAATCACTTTGGGGTTCAAAAGTAAAAAGCAAAAATATTTTTCAAAAGAAATTAAACAAGTATAAGAAAGACTCTGCAACTCCTAGTTTTGTCAGAGTAACATAATTAATACAGAGTAATTTAACTGTACCATATATTACTCACTTATTGGGAAAAGAAAAGGACAGAGATTGAAAGCAGCTTGAAAATAAGTAAAATTCAGATGCTGAGTTTCACTCCTGTAATTTTTTTTAATAATGATGAATGGATTTGAAATGCAATAAAAAGAAGTAGATTGATGAGATGAACATGTTTCTACAGTTACTAAACTTAATTTATATGTTTCATTTTGCTTCCTTTTGTCATTCAATCAAAGTAAAGTTTTCAGCAAAAGTAAGGGTAATTCTTCCTGCCCAGTATCCTCTAGTAATTTTTCTTTTTTTTTTTTTTCTTAAATGAATCTCATTCAAATTCTGTGCGTTGTTATCTGCAGAAATCTTGTGGTAATTTTAGTGCTGCAGTCTGTGTTAAGTGCATTTACACAAGATCAAGTGGGTTTTTTTTTTTTTTGTGTGTGTGTGTGTGTCTGGTATCTACCAGGCTTTGGACATAGCAGTAAGCCCTTTGTCCTTCAAGGTTTGGATGCAGCCATAATAAGCCCTATTAATGGGTTGCAAGGGTGTCTTAGTGATAACTCTTACCTTCTCTTGGGAATAACAGAAGATAACCTCAAAAAATTCAATTTTTAAGCAAGTTTTATTTCTTAACCTGAGGGGATGTGTTTCGGTGCTTATTTCTAGGCTTTTGTTAAATATACTTGAACAGTTGCACTGCTTGAGTTTTTTTTTTTTTTCCTTCCTTCTCTCTAGCTACCACATGCAGTCAAATGATCCTTCCTGCCTTATGCATTCCTACCAGCTTACTCTTGAATTTCTAATTGGGCTATAGTTTTCCTAAAATACCACTAGGGCATAAAAATAGCAGAGCAGATGAGCTGGAACTGTAGTCCAGCATCTTGTTTTTAGCAATTACTTGTATTACATATTTGAAAAAAGAAATTCATAATGGATGACTTTAAAATACTCCCTCTGGAGAAGAAAATGCTAGTGTCCATAATTTAAAGGTTTCACTGGATGCTTTTGAATCCTAACTTTTCTTTATATGTATCTATGTCCTTAAAATCGTGCAGAGCAAAAGCTTGCTCAATTTCATGTATTGATCCAGATGAGAATGTGCCCTTCATTTTTCTCAGGAAAGAAATCTGATACTTTTCCTTTGCTTATTCTTTGTTAAATCTATCACTTCTTGGAACACTCAGATTTATGGAGAAGTATATTGGCAGGGAAAATCTCTTGAGAAAGATCTCAGAGGGACTAAGAAATAAGTAGGTATCAAATAGGCTTTTAATACGCTAAACAAATTTACAAAAAGGATGCTTGGTCCTAAGCAGTTAAATGTCAATTAGCTACAGCACTCAGATTTTCCCATTTTTTTTGTTTCCCTGATTAACATAAGTGCATTTTTTGCCCAGTAATTTCTGAGCATTTGGAATGGTGAATTAGAATTGTTGTCCCCTTTTTTAGTCAGAAAATTATATACAGACCTTTGGAAGAGAAGGCTGATTCCAGGCCAGAAAACTATCTTTTTTTCATATTTTTTTTAAATACAGATTAGTAACATAGTTAGAGAAACATTTTCCTTGCTGTTCTTTATACTGGCTCTATGGCTTTACATAAATATTATTTGTAGTAGGTTATAGATAGAAATGGAAAGTAATGTATAATTTTTTTCAGAATAATACAGTACAGTACAATACATTACAGTAATAACTGTTTTATGTACTAGCAGGTTGGAGGATTTCTTAAATTGTCTTCTGGGGAGAGCTCACAGTTGTTGAAGAATACTTAATTTAGGGTAGAGGTATTTACTAAAGATATCGCTAATACTTTTTTTTTTCTTTTTTTTTTTCCCTGGAGAGAGATACTTTTGTGTCTCCAGGAAAAAATACAAAAATCATTAAAGACAAATTTAGAGAAAAATGGTGGGCTGACGAATTTGAATAGTGTGTCCAGTCAAGAATTAAAGCACTTACGTAGGCCCCCTGACAAACTGATGAACAGAAAGCATAATGTTGTAAAGGCATATGCAGAGCTTTACAGAGATTTTCCTGTCTTGGTCCTAAGGAGGTTGTAGGTATTTGTTGATGGTCATGTTCTGGTGCTGGGCATGTGTTTGTGAGCCAGCCCTATTTAACTTACTCATATAGACTGATCCCCACTGCCTTCGCAAAAGAGGGACGATTTTCAGCTTTTGAATAGAAACAGCGGGTGAAAAAACAGTGTGAAATTATTATAGCCAGAGGTCTTCAAAATTCCTACAACCCCGTGTGAAAGTAAAGCTTTGCTACCTGGTGTTACGGATAGGTGAATATAGTGTTCAAAGTGGGAGGTTGTCGGGACACCACTGAGAGTGTCCACTGACTCCACGGCTCTTTCATAAATGGCATTAAAGTCCCTCTGGCTGGGCCCGGGTGACCTGTTTATACCTATCACTGTAAAATGCGGGAAACGTCACCATTCTCATTCCTCAGAAAAACTCTTCTGGCAGCAGCTGTAGTTTCTAATGTGTCATAGATGAACTCTAGTATTGAATAGAAGCCTTGGATGTGATACAGACTTGTCAGCATATACGTGGTGACTGTTCATTATAGTATACAAAGTAAGTTATGGTTGAACCTCAAATCCATGATGATCTTGGCCCTATTTTTAAGCCTCCCTGTAGAGTCCAATCTCTTCAAGATCTTTATGATACATGTTGTAAAAAGTGGACTACTCTTTCTCTATGATACATGTTGTAAAAAGTGGACTATCAGCTGAGCTTTTGTTAGTCATTGTTGCAAATCTTAGCGCTTCCATTTTAACTAGAAAAAACCTGTGATGACTTCTCCTTCTAGTTAGACCTTCACACGCATGTGCACATGCATCACCAAATACAGCAATAAGAATTTGCCCAACTGGGGGGTTTTCAAAAGGTTTCGGCAATGCTGTGTTGAGTAGGAGTGATATTTAATACATTTTTGTCAGAATGTATAATAAATATGCCTTATGGGCCCTCTTCATTATTTGCAATGACCTACTGATTTTTTTCTTTTGGTACTAGATCATTCCCAAACAGCTTGTTCCGGTTTTGATAGGTGCTTCCATAAAGGAATGGTTATTTATTTATTGATTTGATTGATTTTTGTCAACCTCTGAACTGCCAAAAGAGAAGAACTCTTTCCAAAACAAAAAAGCAATACAAAGCATGTCTGTTTCTCAGGCATCCAGTATAAATAGGGAAAAGGGTTATATTCCTAGCACCCAGTCAAGGAATCTCGCCTCTAGATAGAAATGGGGATGTAAACTTTTAGAGATTTTTATTTCCAGCGAGATAAGGCAGATGAGCTTGTCTGGTATCATGTAGCTTCTGCAAAATGTATCCGTATTAATATAAAGAGTATTGGACTCCTTTGTTTCATTGGACCTGTGTGATCCCATTTCTGCTGTCCTTGCTCTTTGTGTGCTGGTTCGTGATGCTAACAAGTATCTGGCCGAGTGTACAGTAGTTATTGGCAGTTAATGCTCTGGGAAAGCAGAGAAGTAAGTTGCTCTAGTGTTGACTCGTGTGACCTGCCCTGCAGCTTCAGCAGTGAGTCTCCAGAGCCTGACAAAAATTAGCCCCCCTCTGAAAGCTGGGGGCAGGATGTGTGGTGGCAGCCTTGGAGCTGCCTCGCCACTGTGCTGAGGTTAGAGCAACCGGGGGAGATGCGGTACGTACTGCCAGCTTGAATCCCACCGAGGAATGGCCCGGGCTTCCAAAGGTTGTTTGTCTCCAGCCACCGGCGTCCAAGTGCTAAGAGACTAGTAGGAGTTGACTGCAAGTATGATATTCCATATTTTGGAGTGTTGTCTGTCTGGTCTTCTGGTCATATAGTGGTCAATATTTTTGAGCTGGAAATTTAGGCAAAATTGTATCCCATGTATGCTGTGTCATTTCCATGTGATACTCCATGTAGTTGGTGTGTATCACATTGTCATTTTATAGTAGTAGAGGAGGAAATTTTGAACTTGGTTGTGTGTTTTGCATCTATAAAAAGGCACTATTCTAAAATCCTAGTGCTGCAGCAACTGTGTGAATTTTTATAGCATAAAAGAGCACTAAGTAGTACATATAAGTTATGTAGCAGCTTGGTTTGCTTGTGATGTACAGTTGGAGCATAAGCTAAACAGAGCTTTCCCAAAGTTCAAAACACCAGTAAACTCTGTCTTGCAAAGGCTTATAAACTTCTACTGGGAAATTTGTCTTATCCTGCCCTCTTGAGTATAATTCGCATTTGCTCTGAGCTATTTTTATTAGTATAGTTTTGAGCTGTTACAAGTTTTTATAGTTAACTGTATGTGTCTCTTGTACTGGAAAGAAGAAAGAATTTTAATAACTCTGGATAAGAACTTCATACTACATCTGTACAAAAAGATTTTTTTTTTTTTTTTTTTTTTCTGAATGTACTGAACTGCTTGGTGCTCACATTAAGCTGTTTTCCACTGCTGCTGTCTAGTTTTAGACTTGTGGCCTTGTTTTGAATTTCCTAACATTAGCACTTGTATCTTTTTTGCTACTGCAGAAATTGCCTCTTGGAGTGCTATCCTGAAAAAGGATGCTACTCAAAAGTGACCTCTTGACTTTTGTGTTTTCGCAGAACCATTCGCATGATCATTTGCTAGATACTAGTGAATCAAAAAAGCAGCAAGCCAACCAGCACAACTATCGCACCAGATACGCAGCAGAAGAACCTGCGAGGCCTGCGGAAGAGTTAGAAAATGGACACAGTTCCTCAGATGTAAGATTCTCACTCATGAGGTGGTGCTGTAGCTTCTGTTTCTGTCTGTTAAGGCTCTCTTTTCAGCTGATCAAATGCTATTTCTAGCAGAAATTTCACATTTGTTTTTGTTGTGGGTTTTCTTTCACTTTTTTAAAAATAGATTAAGTTTTCCCATATGGTGCTTATGTCTTTAGCTTTGGCTTAAAGCGTATTGTCAGAAATTTCACAACACTCATTTTTAAGAACATTTTCCCAGGTAAATGTTTTTGATGTTAAAACTCACCTGTGTTTGTGAGCCTAATTGATACGGCAAATATGTTTGAATTTGAGTGGAAGTGATGGTAAATAGTGTTAATCTCAGGATTAAAGACTTGCCCATAAAAAGCCTATTAAAGTAGCAAGTTTGAATAAATTATTTTTTTTGTCAACTACACAGTGTGTCAAGTCTGGTAAAAGTAAAACTACTTAAAGGAGACAATATTTAATAGAAAAAGTAAATTTACTTCCTGAATGCAAAATGCAAACCTTAACCAACCCATATATTTATGTAACTTCATTAAATTCAAAGCTAAAAAGACAATTTATAGAAAACTGTGTGTGTAAAATATAGGACATGATATATGGTGGATAGCTATCATATATCAGCATTCTGATTTTTCATTTGAGATGGGAAGGAAAAATGGGGTGTGCTTGTGTACTCGTGCGTACATACACACAGACTAATACAGCATAAAGTGATGGACAGTATTTTAGAGGAAGGGGCATAAAGATTAAGTGACTTAAGGTCATGAGAACTAAGATTTGCTGGAGCTTTTTGAGCTATCAAGAACTGCTCTTAAGACACTGAGAATCAGGCGTAGTAGACCCAAGTCTGCATATATAACTAAAGTAAAATCAATAATAGGAATGTATTTAAGGCTTATCCTGGTTTTTCATTTGATAGAATTTCTGGATCTTTGGAAATACAGGTATTTTTTATTTTGCTTTCATTCAAATAAGCTACCTAAATTGAATATATGCAAATTAAAATGTTTTTTTTTTCTTAACAATGCAAAGCATCTCTGATAACATATGCAGAGAGCCTAGAAGACTATTAGTCATATTGTCCTGTGTTACTATTTTTCTGAGGAAAATTCTGCCTTTTTTTAAATCTAATTTAATTTATTATTTTTTTTTTAAACCTTAGGAAGGAGAAGCAGTTGTTGCCAGTGGTGGAACATCAGAAGATGATGAAAGAGCATGGCACAGTGATGGCAGCTCTAGGTAAGTTACAGTATATATTGCAGAAAAAAATCCTCCTTGAAAATTTTATAGATCCCTATCTTTTCTGTAAACAGTTAGTTAGGATTAGTAAACACTTGCTGCCTGGACTTTGCAAGTCCCTCTGCTGACTCTTGATTTGAAATTAGAGAGCCAAAGATGGAGACAGTGCAACTCAACCTTAATCTCTTCTTAATAATAAATAAAGTGGATCAAGTGCTACCTCCTTGACCTTAGTATGTTTTTTTTAGCTTCTGTTTAAAGGTCTTCAAAATTGGAAGTCCTATGAGCAATATCTAGAATTAAAAATTTTCTTGAACTGGCAAAGTGAACATCAGATTCCTTTTTGGTGATACCAGAAGCTGAGCATCTTACAAAAAATAACTTGAAATGATTCAGTCTTAGTTTATGACTGGTTAAAATATAGTTTGAATATGGGATTTTTGATACTGCTTTTCAATTTTAAAATATTGTAATTGGCTAGAGCATAACTTAACACATTGTGGCATTGGATTATATTATATAAACCATGGTGGTGTGAATTGATTTTAACTTCTGTTTCTTAACTTTCTTTTTTCTTTGACATTCTATCCCTAGTGACTATTCTAGTGATTATTCTGACTGGACAGCAGATGCAGGGATCAACCTGCAACCACCAAAGAAAATCCCTAAACTCAAAACAAAGAAAGCGGAAAGTAGTTCAGAGGATGAAGAAGGACCTGAAAAGCAAAAGAAGCAAATTAAGAAAGAAAGGAAAAAAGGGAATGAGGAGAAAGATGGACCAACAACATCACCAAAGAAGAGGAAACCCAAAGAGAGAAAACAGAAGGTTAGATGTGCTTTGGATATCACTAGATCCTTATTTGTACTGTCATAAAATAATCAGATGACTGTTTCAGTTATGTATACAACTTAATATTATCCAATTTGCTAACGTGTCTTGACTTTTACAAGTAATTAATGTTAATGATAATTGCTGCCTCTTGTAAGTCAGACGATGGATTGCTGTAATGATACCGTTTCAAATTTGAGGTGTTCTACTTAGCACTTTTAATATCCTTACACCATATTTTTTCAGACCAGAAACTTCCATTCTACGGATGTATTGAGTAGTAATGGAATGTGTGTGTATCTTCTCATCTGTGCTGCTTTTAGACTTGCACAGCCATATGCTTTCTTCTCCTAATTCCATGGTGTATGCTGCTTGCAGTGTGCTTAACATAAATGACATCAAGAGGAATTTCTCTTGCTCAGAATTTTGTTGTTTGATTGATTTTGCTTGTTTTCTATCATGGTCGTGTCATTCCTGTTCACTGCGCTGCCTGAAAGTTTTCTGTGGGCTTTTGTTTTTCTTGTTCATTTGTGTGTGTGTGTGCATGAAGTGGATGTTTGATTCAGTAAACTTCCTTTTTTCTTTCTTCATAGAGACCATATGTGATATATTTGGTAGATGCTAATGGCTTTCATAAACTTGTAGCTCTGATTTTTGTGGTATCTAAGGAAATAACTGTATTATCTAAGCAACCAAATATCTTACAAAATTAGGAGATCATTAGAATCGCTATTCCAGCATTTTGTCCCACATTAGAATGGAGAAGGTAGGCTGACAAAAAGCTGCTTTAAGATGAAGATTGCCATAGCATTGGCTAACATGTTAAGTGGCAATCTTTACTCTTTGATTATGCTTTTTTTTATTGGATACAGTCTTTTTTTTAGTGCTCTTATTAACAGTATCTTGGTATTTATATGGTCTGAAATCAGAAAAAATCTGTTAGGTAGTGTTTTTTTTGTTGTTTTGTTTTTTTAATGAGTTAAGCTTCTAGTTTAGTCTTTATTATAATAGATAAGACTGGGTGACTGCCTAATATTTCCAAGAGCTGAACTGTGTGAAGTTGTGCATCCATTTCGATCCCAGTTATCTGGATGTAGGAGGTCTTTGATTCCAAAAACATCCTGACCTAATGTGTTTCAGCTGTCTAGAGATGACCTAGTGCATCAGGGCATCTCATGCACAAAGTGCTAGGCTGGAGGGCCTATCAGAAGATTGTTGCCTGTCCCCTAGACAGGGTTGCATAGACCTGTCTTACCTGGCAAGTGCTTGTCATCAAAGTCTCCTGCGGTAGAGCTGCTGCCACCTTCCTGGCAGGTTATTCAGAGAGCTCGTGGGCCTGACTGATGGCAAGTTCCTTCTGTTTCCTGCACCTGAATCAGTGAGGTGCTACCACCGAGGAGCGATGTGTCTGCGGGCTGGCCCATGGAATGGTGGCAACTGAGGAGTAGAAGCAGAGCGTCATGCTTCTCCATAACTGCTACCAAGCTACCCAGAAGAGTGCTTACATTTATATCTATAATTCTTGACCAAAAATCAATTTAATGCAGGATACAAAATGGAAGAAGGCTAGGAGAAGGTCAGGGATTTTTTTTTTCATCGAGGCAGATAAAATAGAGTACTTTCATGCATAGATGAAAGATTTTAGGATGGGGTGGTGTGCTTAAAAGATGTAATAAAACTGAGAATGGTTTAGAAGTATAAGTACAGAATGGTTTCTTCCCTTACTTTCTCTCTATGAGGCATTCAATGACACAGAGACATCAAGCTCAGAAAAGAACTGCCACCCCAAAAAACCAACCTCCAAAATAACCCAAACCACCTGAACATGGAATTAGTTTGTGGAGCTAAATACTAGTGGAAGTTGTAGGGTCTTGGAAGTGATTCGGTAAATTCATTGGGACTAGTGTCTTCCTGATTAAGTGCTATTATTTGAAAGCTTTTCAGTAAGAATTCATATGAGCAATACTTTCCTTTTTACATTATATTTAAGAAATAGCAGTTGTCCTTAATAGTATACTTACCAAAACAGAGCAATTCCACAAACAATGTTTTTTTTCATACTCTTTTTTTTTCTGTGCATTTTCTTCAGAGGCTGCCTGTAGGAGTTTTGGCAGAAAATGGTTTGACACTGGAAGAATGGCTGCCCTCCGCATGGATTACAGATCCTATCCCACGGCGATGCCCATTTGTACCACAGATGGGGGATGAGGTATTGTAGTTTTTCTTCAGTATTCTTGCTTCTTTTAGCATATTCTTGCCTTTTTCGGCTTCGTCCACACACTTTTTCAGAGTAAATACCATTAATTATCAGATACCATTAAATATCATTTATTATCAGAATATTTTGAATTGCCCCTAAAACTTCCATTGATTATGCCAATTTTGCTTTCATTTTAAACGGGAAGGTTTTTTTCTCAGCACTCTCAGCATTCAAATCTTTCCCATACTTGAAAGGCTTCTGTGCACAGTGCTGTATTAGACTGTTTTTATTGCATGCTATTACAGTAACATTCCTTGCTATGCTATGTTCAGCATTACTTTTCTTACAACATGTTTATAGAAACTGTTTTAAGCATGAAATGTTTCATCTAGTGAAATTAGTCCTTAATTTTAGGGAATCTTGTATGCTGAAGAATATGTAAGAAATCTAATAAGAATTTAAGTGTTGTTTGAAATGCTTGTGTTTTGGACAGAAAGACTTCTGTTTGAGAAATAAAACCCTGGAATGATACTACTTATTTTTAGAAAATACTGGAGGAATTGGTACTTCTAAAAAACTATTTTATTCTAGAGAGATTCTTGAATTTCCAACTTCAGAAAGCTCTTGTTATTTTCCTGGCACAAAGAACCACAAGATAAGTTTGTACCAAAAATGGTACAAAAGTCTCACAATACAGTTCCAACAAGGCATGCACCAATCACTATTTGTGAATATACAAAATATGGGTGGTATAGTGAATTTCATGGAGAAATAGTATCAGATAGAAAACAGTCTGAAAAGCAGAGTCTGTGAATGTTTCCCAAGTTCCCTCGTGTTGAAATAGAAGGAAATAGTTGCCTCGTGCTGTAATGAGTAGTCTGTGGGCTCTTGGGGGAGCTGTGCATTTCTGAGGAGCTAAGCAGGGCTCTTCTGTACCTCACATCCTCAGGATGCAGTTAGAGCCATGCAGCCCTTGGTGAGCACGTCTACTGCTGCAGTGCTGAGCTGCAGCTGCTGTGGCTGTCACCTGAGGCGCCGTGTCGGAGCAGTGGCTGCGTGTGCTTTGCTTTGCTTTGCTTTTACCTTTCATGGGTCCCGTTCACAGCACAGCTACACAGAGATTACCTTGGCCTCACTAGCTGAGGTAAGGTGAGAATGTTTCAGGTCAGTGTTAACCTGGAAGAAATGGTTGTGTAATTCCACCCGCCAGTAAGCCTCTTCTGGAGAGTGTACTGTTCACAGTGTCAAGTCCAAATGAAAACATCTGGTCCCTGGTACCTGTTTTGCGAAGCGGCCAAGGCTTTCCCTGTACCCAGGACCATGTCCTGCAGCGTCTTAGTAAGATAAACTCCCGTGTTTGGCTTGGCACCCGCTGAATAGCTTGTGCACCGTGTACAAGGAATATTTAAGTAGAATGCAATTTCTTGCAGAAAAAGTTTCATATTGGTAGAAAGGATTTTTCCTGGCCTATACCTAGAAAGTAAGTAGTCAAATACATTTGTAATCAAGCTGCATAGTCTAAAGCCCCATCTCTTATGACTTGCCCTTCCTAGGTTTGTTTGAAATACTGTAAGCTTGGAAAGCTACTTTCGAGTCCACACAAATAAAAGATATGTAAAATATAAATTTTTCAGGGCTTACATCCAGAGGAGCGTGGAGAGAGAAGAGGTCTTGTGTGGCCTTTGAACGGTTTAGTGGAATAGTTAATACCTGCTGTAAGATTTGGGAAGAGAGGAGAGGGTTTTCAAACTTCCTCCCTTACAGCGATACAAACGGTAGGGAGAGGACAGTAGTCCTGTGTTCAGTTGTACAAGGTGTGTAAGAATAACACACACGCCCCCTTGTTCACTTTCTGATTAGTGCCATTTACAGAGCTCTGTGGCTTGAGGAGCAGTGGAAATGGAGCAATGAGATGAGACTGCCGTTTGCCAGCATGATTGCCCAAGGAGAGGAAATGTGCATTGTAATATTTTGCTGTTCGCATGATGAAGAACACCTAGTCTGAGTACTACAACAAATTATGAAGAAGCAGGAATTTGCTGAGATAAAAATACAAATTCCTGGAAAAAGACACTGATTCATCTTACCCCAAGTATTCTTCTCATTAGTTGTTTTGAAGGAATATGTAATGCTTTGCAGCCACTTATAAAGGCAAAAAAACCCAGTTTTTAAACAGCGGATTGAATTTAGGAAGAGATTTAGCAGGAACAGTAAGTATAGAAGAAATTATAGCCCATGCAACTAAACTGAACTCTTTCATACTTGAAGATGTGTTTTTATGGGAAACAGTTGTCACAATGCTGAAAGTGTAATTTAAATTGATACTATTTTAGATCTGTCATTCTGTAGCCTCTTTTCCTATCAGTTAGATTGTTAAAGTATATAGTAGTTTCTCACAGTTTTCATGCTTTCTGTAATTACTGTGCTCTTTTCTTCTTAGGAGGATATTGTGTGTGTCGAATACTCTGAAAAACAAGGGTTTAAAAATTTTGGATCTTAATGTGCAGCTGTAGAGTCTGCCTCCATTAAAAAAGCACTGCTATGTGACTCTAAGAAAGTTCCATAACTATGAATTTTAGAAATTGGTAGATACCTTTTTTTATAATGTTGCAAGATTTTGCAAAGCTTGTATAAAGGCAAACATCAGTGGGTTTATTTGTATAAAGATACCTTAAAAAACTGTTCACTGCTTAATTTTTGAGGATCTGTGATGTAAGCAGGAAAAACGAAGAGCAAAAATTCAGTGATGGAAGAGAATAAATGCAGTGTATGGCAAGAGGATGCTGAGAGTTTGACCTGTCACAGTTTTGGTTGGCTAACTGTTACGTTTCACTCTTAGGTTTACTATTTCCGACAAGGTCATGAGGCCTATGTTGTGATGGCTAAGAAGAACAAAATATATAGCATTAACCCCAAGAAACAACCATGGCATAAAATGGAATTGCGGGTATGACTATTTTGCTTTCTGTTTGGAGTCTTGATATAAAGTTTGGAAACTAACTGAAAGAATTCTTGATATCAATGTTGTTAATATATTTATATTTTAAGATATGAAAAGTTAACTGACAGTCCAAGGAATTCAGAGTTTATGCTGTTTTCTGTGATCTGATGAGCAAATATTACTATTATGCTGTATTTGATTATTACTGTGGTTGTACCTCAGCAAAATCTTTTAAAAATATGTCATATTGGAGGACCGTTTCTTTTTTGAGAGAGCGAACTTCAGATGCTTGGTTTTGGCATGGCCTGATAGAAACCTAGCATTTTTAGTACATTCATACTTTAGTGTTCAGAGAGTCAGCTTGAGCAGCTCTACATAACATTTTGTTTATTTCAGGAGCAAGAGCTGATGAAAATAGTTGGTATTAAGTATGAAGTGGGTTTGCCAACTCTCTGCTGTCTTAAACTAGCTTTTCTTGACCCAGACACGGGTAAACTGACTGGAGGATCGTTCACCATGAAGTAAGAGAAGCACCATTCAAAGCACTATTTATATTCAAAATGAGATTGTGGTGGTGGTGGTGGTGAGGTTTTTTATTTTTATTTTATTTAAAGATATCATTAATGATATGTCTTGAGCTTTTACTTTTGAAGTGTTTAGATCAAGTGTATTAAATTGTTAATAATATAATTATTAAATTTCTGTATCCTTTTCTTTATGCTTTTACTATTTTACCACTTAATTGTCATCTTCTGTTGTAATTAGGTACCACGATATGCCTGATGTTATAGATTTTCTAGTCCTGAGACAGCAGTTTGATGATGCAAAACATAGGCGGTGGAATATAGGTATGTGATGAGGGTTTTTTGTTTTGTATTTTTTTTCTAAATCTATTTATCTGTTTTCATGCTAACTTTTTAATAAAGTAGGTTGTGTTAAATTAATTTGAAATACCAGACCGGAATTGGAGAAAAAGTTCTATGCTTTTAGATACAGGGTCCCACTTTTCCTTTGAAGTTGCAAGCAACCAAAGTGTTTATGGTGATCTGTAAAAGAAATTGAGTACAAAGAAAAGGTTACCTGTTTGCAGGGAGGAATTAAGAATGTATATGTTGTTAAAATATGGTGTTTCCTGGCAGCTGGTTTATTGTATTCTGTATATAGCTTGTCTCTCTAGTTTAAAAGGCCTTTTATGACCAGATCACTGCTAGAAAAAATGTCTTTAATTACTTCAGTCCTGTTCATTTGTGGAAATACAGCAACATTTTTTCAACCATTTGAAATTTATGAGTCTAAAGACTTTGCATAAAGATTATGCCCTTGCCATCTCTTTTTGCTCATTTAAATTCCTTTCTCAGCTCCATATGGCGTAGCATCCTTGACATGTGTATGTCTAATTCAGAACAGCTCAATAGGGGCACGTTGTCGATTTGTTCTCTTTGCCTGTGCGTGGTTCTTCCAAAGCGATGGGTACTAGAGAATGTGCATTGCAGCTGTGTCCTGCAGTCAGCTCTTTCTCCTGGACATCTTTGGATGGGAAAGGAAATTTTAACAAGGAAATCTTAGTAGGGGAAGCGAAAGCTTCATATAACAAAATTGTTCTCTAGTTGTCTTGTCATATATTCTCATTTCTAAGAACAACCTTAGATGGGTTTTTAAACAGAAAAGATTAAGCAAGTGTTATTGACTCTTCACAGTTCAGGATAGTTAGTCGCTGTTCCCCTAATGCTGAAATCTGTGTTCGGTACCATGTTTATAAACATGTTGGTAATTTTAAGTCTTCTCTAGTATCTTGGTATTTTCAGTGAAGCGATGTGCTCTGCAAATTAAGCATCAACAACCTTCCATTTTAAGCCGGATCTCAATGTTAAATGTGCTTTGTAAACTTGCAGTGAATACTTCAAGGCTCAGTTTCTGCAGTTCTTCCATTCAGCGGCTCTGATTCACATCTAACTAAGCTTAGGTTTTTATTATTATTATTAACACTTCAAACAAAACATCATGCAGAACAACAGGGAACTTCAGTGCAACAGTGTGTTGTTATATCTGATTATGTTACCAGTTGTTCCTAAACAGACATATCTTTCAACAAGTAGTCTGCTTTCTTAGTTTTTATCTGCTATTTCCTATTGAAGGGTTTTCCTCTCCTGAGTTCACTGGAGTTAAGTAAACTAAAAAGGTGGCTCAGATGGGTATTAAAAGCTCTTTTGAATATATTATTGCTTATCAGATGGTTTGCTGGGAAAGATGGATTGATCCACCTTGATTCTCCATTAAGGATCATTTTAGTTTAAAGATCTGTTGAGAGACAAGCTTGGTCAGCATCTGCTAGGATCTCACCGAGCCCTGCTGATCTTCTTGCTGTTTATGGATCTCCCATGGTCTCCTCTGCCTGCCACCTGTGTCCACGGTTGCCCCCACCATCGGTGCAGTGGTGGGAAGGGGCCCTGCTGTTCCCCACGTGCGAAGGGCCCAGCCTGAGCCCGGGCATGCAGGAGCCTAGCAGTGCCACCCTTGTGGTTCTTGGCACTAGCAGGGCATAGAGAGCACCTCCTTCCCAGGCTGGTAAGCACACTTTCAGAAACTTAGAAGCGTGGAAAGAATCAGAACTGCGTGGGAGAGTGAGGAGAGCCAGAGCCTTTTATGCAGCCCTCACGCAAACGCTGCCAGTGGCCAGGGGCACTGCGGCCTGTGTAGGGGCTGGGCGCGCAGCCCCACTGCTGGGGCCGTGAGCGGGGTGAGACCGTCCCCCGTGTGAAAGCACGGAACGTGCTGCAGTAGGGATGGCACAAAGTGTTGTTAACGCCAGGCTTGCTCTTGCAGCAAACTTCTGAAGTGCTGCCACGTCGCTGACACTTGGGCTGTTTCAGTAGTGTGCGCTTATGTTCTTAAGCGAGTCGTAGGCTGTTTTATCCCAGAGTGGAACACAATGTGGAAATGTTCCTTGGAAATAGAACATCCTTTCTCTTTGGAAGTATATACTGTACTGTGAATGAAATTGTTCCTGTATGTGTCGAATTGGTTCAATATGAAATCCTCAGATTCCTTCTGATCTACCCAGGTCTTCTGAACTGTTATCATAGCTCTTCAGCAATCATCTTTTCATCTGATCATCTTTTCAAATCATCTGGTTGCTAGTTTGTCTTCTCAGGACTCCCGTTGCTGTCTTTTTCATTATTCTGTGATTTCTGCCACTTAGTCTACAAACCAGTGGTTTTATAGCTGTTATTTGTACTGGTCACTGGTAATGAAATAATTTGGCCTACATTTTTGTAGGTTATTAAAGCATTGAGCTTTTAAACTTGTCCAGTCTTGTCCTGTATGGTTTTGGCTTTCATCATAGCGTATTGATAGCAATCCTTGGTTACGTTTTTTTGCGGTATGTTTTTTGTATTTGTGTTTTTAAGAAACACTTTTGCTAAACTCTCATATATTTATAAAAAGATCATAGAGTTCTTTAGTATTAAAATATATCTATATATTAACATAAATGAATGCTTTTAGAAAGAAATATACTTCTGAAATTTGAGAAGTGATATTATCTTATTTCTACTGAGATTCTCATTGCATGTATTTGTTGTATTATTACATGTGGTTTCACAAGAGTACTGGTACTTGGGCTAAAACCTATTCCACTAAGATTGCTGAATGTCTGTTCCTTATATAGCAGCCACTGTAGGTTCAACATGTATTTCATCAAGCTAACATCTTGATCTTTGGTCACTAGATCACTAGGGAATGCCATGCTAGGAGTCTTTTCCTTAACAGCTCTTAGAAGTGGCTCATTCCTATGAAATAAAAAAAATTCAACTGTTACTTACTTTATCTGCTTTTTAGATATTTCCTGTACTTTTGTTCTGTTTCATTCAGCACTATTAATGAAAGCCAGAAGTCCAGAAAATAAAGTTTTCTCCCTTCGTGTGGATATATAGAAATAGGATAAACATTGCAGCAGTTGAGAAAGTGTGCATATATTCCTCAAATTGCATTAAAAGAAAGTGCAGTTCTTGAAATGTCAAATTTAAATTACCTTTATTCTTGGATTGAATGAACTGAACATTTGTTCCTGAATTCTGTGGTGTGTGCTGTGGAAGATGTTAGAATGGATGACAGTTTTATTTTAGCATGTTATATTGTTTTTCTTTCTAATGTGTTTCTCAGCTTTTTTTTTTTTCTCAGTTTTGTGGATGTTTTTATGAAACTGTTTCATGTTATAGTAAATGATTGCTAACCTTTTAAAAGAGATTAAATAAATCTATTTTATATTAGTCATATCACCTGTGTAGCAAAGGAAATGAACCTTTGAGTTAAATTAAGGAGCTGCTTATACAAGGAAATAAAAAAAAAACTTTTCAGACCCAAGAGGAGGAGCTCTGTAGCATATAGAAGTATTCCCTATGCAGAAATGTCACAGAATGCAGTTAATTGAAGGAAGCCTGTAATATTTAATACAAGTAGATTTTAGTTTTAAAGGAGTTACAGCATTGAAATATCTTAACTTTATCTGTGTTTAAGAAGTAAATTTATATAAATTGGTTATATAGATATGTTCAAATCATTAATTACTTATATATTAATAACTGTTTTGTTATGATTTTAAAGCAGCCTCCAGAAATAATTTACTAATATTGTTAAAAAAGATGTGATTATAAGCCATATATGCCCAGTGGTGCAAGTTTGGTTCTGTTCTCAAGATCAATCCAGAGGTGTCTAAAAGCTGGTGTTCTTGAGACGAATGAGGTGCCTTGTGTCGTTGAAATGGTTTTGTGTTTCTACCTAGGTGATCGTTTCCGGTCAGTGATAGATGATGCCTGGTGGTTTGGAACAATTGAAAGCCAGGAACCTCTTCAGCCCGATTATCCTGATAGCTTGTTCCAGTGCTACAATGTCTGGTTAGAAAACTTCTCTTCAATCTTTTGTTTTCATTACATATTCCATTTGACAAACTGATTGAAGTAAGATGCTTTCATTAAATTGAGTCATGCATCTCACTATGCTAGTTTATTATAAAACTTTATCGTATATAGAAATGTTATTATTACAATCATTAACTAATTACGTTGTTTGAGCATTATTAGTAGGTAAATTGTAATGTGGTTATTTTCAAGCTGGGACAATGGGGATACTGAGAAGATGAGTCCTTGGGACATGGAGCTGATACCAAGTAACGGTATGAAACATAATCATTTAATTTGCCTTAAGAAAGTGTCTAAAAAAGGGGGAAAATTGTGTCACCAAAATAGTTGTAAATCTGCTGGGCCGGAAGGGGTAAAGGGGAGGAACCCACAAATCATTTGTACCTGAAGATAGTAATTACATAAGGGTACATGTAAATGAATTGCCATCTTTCCTTGAAAAAAAAAGTATATGTCCTTTTTTTTCTTTTTCTTTTTCTTTTTTTTCTTTTTTTTTTTTTTTGCATATAAGCATGGCTATATGTTGGAAATAGCCAGAAATACAAGCAAAGTTATAACAGGGGGTCTTTTTATGCAGTTAGAAACTGGGACTTGAAAGGGAACCCGTGCCTCACATAAGCTTGGGGGCAGCTGGGTGCTCTGAGAGCTGTCAGGAAGCCAGCAGATGTTCCGTGCATTGAAGGTGCAACGTGCATCTGTGGGTGCTCTGGTAATAGTATCATGGTAATAGATTTGCTCCCGGCGTGGTCCAGAGCAAATTTTTGAGCAGAACAAGAGCTATGGATTTCTCTTGTTTAGTAGAATGATATTATGTATCTCAGTATTAATTTTGGTTGTTTGAATAGATGTGTATATATTACACAAGATTACACAAGATGCTTTATTTAGTTTTCATGTTTCATTTTAGCCGTATTTCCAGAAGAATTGGGAACAAGTGTTCCTTTAACAGACGATGAACGTAGAACGCTGCTCTACAAACCTCTGGATGGAGAGTGGGGTTCCAGGACCCGAGATGAAGAGTGCGACAGAATTATTGCAGGGATAAACCAGCTTATGACTCTAGGTAAATACCGTTTAATACTGGAAACATCCTCATACTAAATTTTGTAGACTGTGCTGATATATATTTTCAAATTTGCATAAATCAGTAACTGCTTAGGCTGTAGAAAATATATTTTTGTCTCTTGATTAGCTAAAACAAAATTTTTGCAGTGTGTCTTTAAAAAAAAAAAATTGTAGTGCAAGTACGTTTAAAACCTAAATTTTCTCCTATTTTCAAAGATAACTACTTTTTGAGAGATAATGTGACATATCCAAGACACTTTATTTATTTATTTATTTATCATGCTATAAACAAGCGCTTGATTTTTGAGTACCAGAATCACTTAGAGTTAAAATTATCAGTCTTATAATGAGCAAAACATTAGCTATATGACAAGCAGAAAGAAGACTGCTAGGTACTTACCTACAGAATGGACACCCATATGTAGATGTTTCTTTTATTAGCCTTTTTAATTTCCTTTTTTCCACTTTTCCCCCATCCACTAACATCTGAAAAGCAGAAGAGACACTTATTAAAAGCAAAACATTGAGGATAAAGTAATTGCTAAACTTGTGAAAAATCTCTTTCTGTTAATATGTTGTAGAGCAATTACTCTTTACAGCCAACTTTTGAAAAAATAATTGTCAAGCGTATAACGAAGCAGAGACATGTACATGATCAAAGAGGGGGAACATCAGGAGGAGATGTGTTAGGCAGGACGGAGGCAGGATCACAGAGCTTTGCTGAGCTCTGTGCTGAGAGTACCCTTGAACAGCAGCGTTAGTCATGTGGGTAATGGTGGTCAGGAGCTACAGCAATTGTCAGAGATTTTTTTTGATTTTTTTATTTTAACTGAATCTGAAGTGCATAATGAAAGGTAAAACGGTTAAGATTCAAAAACAAATCCCCCAAACTCATAATCTTGAAATATTTCTAATACCTAAATAACTTGCATTATGATTTCTTTGGTGACAGGCTGCATAAGAAATGTTTTTTTTGCTTCTGAAAGACAGTATCTGTAACACTGTATTAATCCAAATTTCAGAAATATAAAAAAAAGTGTAAGATTTTAATTGTATTCAATATGTATACCACCTAGCAGTAATGGTTTTATATTTTGCAATATGTCAAATGACATACTGTTTAGCTTGGGATTTAACTATAATATATATGGTTCATATGTGTACAGAGTACCAGTTGCTAGAACATGCCTAAGAGTAAGTAAACAGTTTTTAACAGAAGAACAGTCTGTTTAGCAACAACATATCTTCTGTTTTTAAAGGCTTTAGAGAGACTTCAAAGTTTTAAAGCTGCGTTTGTATTCCTATATTTTCTTTTGAGGTATAGGGTATTGGAATGATGTGCCTGAGCACATGTGATGCTCCTAACCATAGGAGGAGAAAAGGGAATTCTGTAGGTGTACAGACTAAGATCACTCTAGGGATTCATCGACTTGAGAAGGCAGCTTTGTTTTTTGGTGGGGCCAGGAGGTTATGGTTTGGTTTTATTTTGTGTTTGTTTTGTTTTTTTATTTCGCATCTTACTGAGACTGAAATGAGGCTGTAGCTTTATGATAAGAATTTAATTAATTGCTTTTTTTGAGCTTGGGAGAGTAGCAATATAAAATCAAGTAAAATTAGTCCATCTCATTGCTAACCTTATTGAGCTTCATATCTTAATTTTGTTGGGTAATTGCTGTGTATTTTGAACATGAAGAAATACCATGTTGTGTGGGTGAGGGGATGTTAAGACTGCAATAGGGAATGGTTTTGTATATGTAACTGCATTTCCTTTCTGTGTAGATATTGCATCTGCATTTGTTGCACCTGTGGATCTTCAGGCTTACCCGATGTATTGCACTGTGGTGGCCTATCCCACGGATCTCAGTACCATTAAGCAAAGACTGGAAAGCAGATTTTACAGGTTAGATCAAGTCTCAGTTACTACTGGGAAACGCTGTCAACTGTGTTTTCGATAGCTGTTGTCTTGTAATTCCTGACTAGGAGATGGGTTCGGGTGTTCTCTTTCAAGGATTTGTCTCACCTATCCTTCATGGAGGTTTTTATTTTATAAAACGTTAAAAGGGATTGCAAATCTCTTCTGCAAAATGCATTTTATAACAACACAATATGCAAGTTTCTGCTCATACAATTGAACTAGCTCTGTGTGAGATTGAAATTGCAGAAGCAGAGATTAGGTCTTTAAAGTGATTTTAGTCAAAAGAATTAAGTTTCCATTTAATTATTTTTTTAAAATTTAATAAGAGAAACCTGAGATGTCAATCCTTACTTACCTTCTGTAGTTTAAAATCTTGCATTGTTGATTTCAGTAAGCACACAGAAAACTCACTAAGATTTTAGAATGTCAAGACCAATAATTTATGTTATTTGATTGGATAGTAACAAGAAATAGCTGTTGATTGGAACTGTAACTTTGGAATTGTTTTCCAAAGTTGTAATTGCAAGCAATACTTTTTCGTAGTAGTAGTAAATGTAATCCAAGTTGGAGCATATTCATTTAAAATTCTTGTTTTCTTTGGATTCTTGAAAAATGTATTATTTAAAACTGTTCTCCCTCTACTATTTGCATTGGGCACATATGGATAGCGTGCTGCTTTGGGTGAAATTTGAAAGTTAATTTGTGGTGCCTTTTCTCTAATAATATGCAAAGGTAGTACCCCAAAACAAAATTGCTTATGCAATTTCAAAAAACCTTATCTGTTACACAGTATAAGGCCTTAGTGCATGTGTATTGTTCCATGTTAGTTCTATAATATGCAAATAATTCAGGTCTTACTTTCATACTGTACCTCATGGGAATCACAAATGGCAAAGAATTTTTTAATCATTTTGTTTTATTTATTTGATCAAAAGCGTGTAAGCAGTTGGTAATTAGCATACCTTCTTTACTAAACCATTTTTTACTGGTTTGTAATATTGCCAAAGCCTGGTAGGTAGTAGGAGCATTGTATTCTGCCATATATTCTGTTTTCCAGTAAAAACTTTTTTTACTTTCTGCAGGAGAGATTATTCATACTGCCTGTGATGTCCTGGGTAGCTTTTCGTGAGGCTTACCTTGGATCATATTCTTCTTTATGAAAAAGGAAATTTTAGCATATCTGAATGTAAATAACAAAATGAGCAAATAAAAAATGTCCTTCCATCCCCATCCTTTCTTCATGTTTTAGACCACAATGTTTGACCCACAAGCGCAATTAAATTGCATCTAAGTGCTTATGGTACATTAAACATGTTAAATGATTCCCCACTTCACTCTGCCCTTTTGAAAACAAACTCTGCAGAGTTTTCCTTCTTTTGTTGCATTTTGCTAGTATAGAAGTGGAAGATTATGTATATATTTGTAGCTTCTGTGGGGTTTGTGATTTTTCTAAGGAAATAATGTCATTATTGCATCTTTGTAGATCACTTTAAAATCTTTTTTTTTCACCTGTTTTTATTTGAATATGCCACTTTTTCATAACTGTTGTTGTTATTCTGTAGATAGGTCATTAAATCAGAGCTATGTAAAGGGTGGTGGTGAACTCCGATCATTGTCCAGCTGTTAGAAAAAAATGTGTAATTTTAGTACTTTTTAGGACTATTTTTCTGTCCTCAGCTGTGACTTAAGAGTTGATTTATGCTGAGTTATGCATATCATAAAGGGATAATAAACACTAAAGATTGCCAGCTGAATTTTTCTGAGGAGCACAAGCCGTACATTTTTAAAGGCATTTGCATGTTTACCACAGGATGTGCACGAGAGCAGGAGCCTGAGGACGCTGCCTGCTGCTCCTCGCGTTATCTGGGAGTTTGTTTTTTTCCGATTTAGTGATGAATGGGGCAGTGCATTAGAGGAATCCTGTAAGGATTTTCCTCCACGCCATACGCACCACTACAAACGTACCCTGCTTGATGCTGTTTTCCTCCTCTCTCCTGTCCTTTGGTGCCCAGGCGGCTCTCGTCATTGATGTGGGAGGTGCGATACATAGAACACAACACGCGCACCTTCAACGAGCCCGGCAGCCCCATCGTCAAATCGGCCAAGTTTGTCACGGATCTGCTGCTGCACTTCATCAAGTGAGTTACTTGGGACTTCTCATGGCCCCCCTGTTTCTTACCCAAGTATTTAGCTTTTTGAAAACTGAATTTTACAACAGGGTAGTTCAAGAAATGGACAAAGTTTGTGCTGACAAAAGAAGAGCACGTAAATATGCAAAATACAATAAAATTTGTATAGAAGTTGATGCAATACAGGCTAAAAATAAAAGAATTTAATAATGAAAAAAATAAGGTGGATTTTGCAGTTTTAAAATGAAATTTTAACAAAGGCTGCCAAAAAGGTTTGTTTTTTCAATGAGCATGAAGACTGTGAAGAAACCATTAAAAGCAGAAATGAACCAACCAGAAGAACTTATATTGTGGTGGATTGATATAGAATGTTTTTTTACTTTCATTGATAGAAGTGCGTCTGAATATTTTTTTGCAATGATATGTACACTTGTAGGTGCTTTAAGTCTAATTTTAACTTTTAATACTGCATATATTAATATTATTATGATAATTGAATTCTAAAGTCTTTATAACTGTTACAACCTGATTGGAAATGGTATTTGACATGCAAAATGAAAAATCAGGAGTCTTTGTAGTTGATTTAAAAAAAAGGGGGGGAGAGGGGCAAAAATATTGCGATGCTTTTATAATTTTTATAAAAATTCTACTGAATTCTTACAGAAAACCTTTTTGCTTAAAAATCTCCCGTTTCACCAACAGAGAAAGGCTGTCATGGGAAAGCAGGTCTCAGTTTACAAGTAATTTTTTTCATGTAGAACAATTAAAGGGCTCTTGTCTTTCTGTGGGTTTTATGTCTTTGTTAAGAGAGAGATGAGGTTGGTGAGAAATGTCAGAGCTCTCGCACCCGGTGACATCCCCAGACGGGAGCTCCTGAGGGCTTGCAGAGTGTCTCCACTGTTTGGATTTTCTTGGGCACAGTGAAAAATGTGACATTTTTCATACTGAGATTAACATGTTGAAAGAGTTACTCGGTGTAACATGGGGTATTGTTTCTTTTGAGTTTTTATGTTTGCTTATAAAACATAGGTACTACATTTTTTTCTGATAACTAAAACCACACATACTTATTTGAAAATAAGATTGTTGCTCCTTACATAAATCTTATTTTTCACGTGTGCATTTCGATTCTGATATTAGCTGGAAGGTGAAATACTGGAGAGTATTTAGAAATGCTTCAGCCACTTCAAGTTTAGTGCAGCACATCTTTAGTAGTAGGTGCACATTTAAAGAGCTTCCTTATTTCTAATTTTATTCTCTAACATCTTTGCTCCTCAGTGGCTGTTCTTAGTTAATTAATGAGCTCATGGTTTTTCAGACTGTGCGTTTCTAACTGATAATGTTGAATTAGTGCAACAGATGTATATTATTCAATAATGACCTATTACCACTTTAGCTTGTGCCTGTTAATATGCTAATTTAACCAGTGAACGGTGATGCAGGCAAAGCAAGAATTTCCAGAGATTTTTAGGGATCTAACTTTACTAAAAAGCACTGCAGGCTGATTCTGTGGTTCTAGTGAGATTGAAATACCTGAATACCTCTCAAAGGGTTAGTCTGTAAGTTATTTAAGCCCTTTAAAAAACAAAAATCCTAATTGTTTTGTTTATTACTCCTCCTCCTCCTTTACCATCGTATTTACATTAACATGTATTATGGGTACGTAATAGTTGCTTACTGTTTTTTTGTTTTTTAATTTTTAATTTGTTTTTGTGGGGGGTGACTTTACGTAGTAGTAGCTGCTACATAGTAAAACATCCTTTGGGGTTTCTTTTTTGTTTACTATTGCAGGGTTTGTAGAAGTTTGACGTGTTACACAAGAATCAAAATTAGATGTATGTTTTCCTGAATTAGGTCTATAAACAATGGCAGTGGTCATAGTCCTTTGGAAAACAGTATTTATTTGTCTAACTTCTTATATGTGAATATTACATTACAGTGGTTCCTGTAATGGTGTAGTGGTCTTAAAGCAAGAGCCCAACAGTCTTTTATGTGATAAGTTTTGGATTTTTCTAATGCTGATAAGAGCCATAGTTTAGTTTTAACACCTTGACACTGTTATGTGGCCTGTATCTTAGGAAGCTCAGAAAATATATTGCAGCTTTTTGATCAAAATCAGCTTTTCTTACTGCTAACATTCCTTTTAATGTTCTTGTGGCATTGATCAGTTTATTTGGGAATGACTTGATAAATATTTTCCCTTTCCTAGTCAAAATATAGTTGGTGTTACGGAGCGAGATGAAGAATCGATGTTAATGTGTGTCGTTGTTCCGCAGAGACCAGAGTTGCTACGATATAATCCCGTTATACAATGCAATGAAGAAGAAGGTGCTGTCTGACTCGGATGAGGTGAGTGCTTGTGTCTTGGACATGGGCATTGCTGCACTGCAGAAAGGGGACTGATGTCGCTGTCCTGCTTGATATCCAAGTGCTGAGTTCAGTTAGTGTAAGGGAGTAGGGAGTCATTTTCATCAGCAATTTCTTCTTGTCAGCCGGGAAACTGGTAAAAATCCATCTTCCTCCCCTGTAGAGCAGCGAGTTCCAGAGCTTTACTGGAGAAGTTATGGGGGTTCTGTAGACTTCTGAGAGGTTTTCAAAACTGACAGTCATATGAAATGCTTTCCAAAGCACAGGGATGTAATGGCAAAGACTCAACTATAAATGAAGTTTAAAAGGGCTCGGCTTCTCATATGTGTTTATATTTCTTTTAACCTTTTTATGCGACTCATTATCTTGCTCAAAGGAAGAAGAGAAAGATACAAATGTGCCAGGGACTTCTACTAGAAAAAGAAAGGTAAGATCATGTGTTTTTTTTCATTTTGCTTGTTTACTGATTTTTACCTCTGCAAACAATTTGAAATGTGTTTGTAAAGAAAGGGTTTAAAACTGAAAATGTTTTATTATCATACGGTTTCAGCTTTTGGGAAGTGCTGAACTTCCAGTGACTGAAGTACTGTTCCAATGGACTGTGGAATGTAAAAAGAATTCTATCTGTGCTGTGGCACATTTATTCAGAATTTATATCCTGCAGTGTACGTTTTTCTTTCCGTTTTGTCGAAATAGCTGGGTTTATTTTATATACAGCAGACAATATTGTCATTTCAGGATCATCAGCCGAAGCGGCGGCTGCGCAACAGAGCTCAGTCATACGACATTCAGTCATGGAAGAAGCAGTGCCAGGAGCTGCTGAATCTCATTTTTCAGTGTGAAGACTCTGAACCATTTCGACAACCAGTGGATCTCCTTGAATATCCAGTGAGTGTTTTAGAATAGCAAGGTAGATTTAGAATAGAAGGATTAATCTTCGTTTCATTTTTGCTAATTCTGACTGTTTTTCCAACTCTGCCAATTGAAACTTCAAGCAGCTCTATTACCAGCAATTTTGTTATCAGTTGGCTTGGCTGTCACCTGCTAATATAGTTTATCATTGTCTTTTTTAAAGTAATTTCACAATAAACTGTTCATACCTGCTCTCTTTAAATACCTGAATTGCAAAATATTTTATGTTGAGGGATGTCTTAGTTCTTAAGTAAATTAAAACTTGTGTAACGAAGATGCACTTTTTGTGTGGAAAGCAGGTGCTGCAGTTGCAGATACGATATTTGATTGTTGCTTGTGACAAATAATGTCATGGCACTTTTATTTTGTCCTCCATTTAAGAAAGAGAAAATAAACTATTGTAACAGTTGTCTGGGCTGCTGGAGAAAAATTACTTCTTTTTTGTTTCTCATAAGTCTCAGTTCACAGAAAAAAATGTAGTGAAATATTAACTGAAGTAAAATTGTTTTTTTTTTTTCCAAATTTCACTTTCTACCTGGGTGATTTCAGTGCAATTCAGGTAGCCATGCAAGGCCAGTTGTAATTATAGAGCATTTTAACACATAAGTCTTTTTGCCTCGGGTGTCTTTCACAGTGCTAGTTTTACTTTCAATAGCAAAGCAAAGTTTCCCTGTGCTTTTCTTCCCAGTGTATTTCAAGTTTTTATTCAAGATATCATTCTGAGGTGATTAACTGAGAGGTAAATCACTGCCTGAAAATAAATGCTTTTGAGGGAAGTTGCTTTTGTCTGTCTTGCCACCTCTTTAGGTACTGGGCATCATAATGCTTGATGTAACCTAAAAGAAAAGCCAGCTGCAAGCTGCCCTGTGTGTTTCTGGTGCTACAGTGAGCGGTGGGAAGCACCTTGTTACCCTCACGCCCCAAGCCCTCTGCTTCCCAGGGCTCACAAATCTTTTTCCCATTCAGAGGCACTGACTCACACATGCAGGTGCCATTAGTTCTGATGGATTAAGTTAACCTTTTGTTAAATGCATCTTTGAGCTTTTTGTCATATGGATGTCTCTCTGTTTCCTCAGTAATCTAGGGAAAAAAACGCTCCATCATTGATTTGAAGAGCCTTAAATAGCTCTAACTTGAAGGCTGTTAAAGCCAGCAGACTTCCCATTTGTTTCAGTATTGCTTTGCTAAACTGCTAGGTCTCCATTTGGGAAAGCACTCAGGTTTCAGCAGAGATGCACAAAGACTAGCATCAAGTTCAAAAGACTATTCACACTTACTTTTTTTTAAGATACTATATTTTAGGCTTAGTATTAAGTTTGAGTTGTTAAACCGTCCAGAGAGCTTTTCATTGCATTTTTATATTCCACTTTATCTTCATTGTGGTATGTCAGTAGTTCAGCAACCAGAAAACTGAGTCATGTATTCCGGTAAATCTGTTTACAAAGTTGATTAGATCTTACATGGCTTAGCATTTAAACTAGCACCTGTTAAGTTTGTCTACCAGGAATTCGAGTATGTAGGACTAAAAGAAGCAAATTGTTTTTAGTGATCCTATTGAAGAGGTCCTGTTTGAAGAGGATAGTATGGTTTTAAATCAACATTTATAAACGTATTTTAATAAAAAAGATACATTGTCACTTGGAAAAAAAATGTAATAGGCTGCTTTGCTATTTTGCAACAGGATTATAGAGATATTATTGACACGCCAATGGATTTTGCTACTGTTAGAGAAACGTTGGAAGCTGGCAACTATGAGTCACCAATGGAATTATGTAAAGATGTGCGACTTATTTTCAGCAATTCCAAAGCCTACACGCCAAGTAAAAGGTCAAGGGTAAGATTTCATTTTCGTGATTTCTGTTTGTAAGAAAACTTAACTGAAAAATACAAGACAGAACAACAGAAATACTCTAATTGATTGCTTTGAAAACAAGTTTCATTATTTCTGGTGTTCAAATAGGAATGTTTTTGATTAAATAAAATAGCTTTATCCAATAAAGAAAGAAAAAGAATGTATGGTGCTTAAATGTCTGAAGTGTTGATGCTCTCCAAGTGTAGTTTGAAAATAAGCCTGAAAGTGGATCTAGAGACAGAACTGCATTGAAGGGTTGCTCTGTGGGAATGTGATTGTATGAACAGTAGTAACATCTCACTGATGTCTCTGAGAAGAGACCAAAACACAAAACTCAAATCCCAACTCCTCCACTTCTGAAGTTGTACAAAACCAAAATAACGAAGTCTGTGTAAGGTAGAATTAGGAGTGGATAGAAAAATTCTCTGCTGTTCATTGATTCATAAGATTGTAACAAAGTACTTAGGGTAACTGAGAAACAGAGCTGCTTATACAGAATATGAGCGTGTAAAGCTGCTGCTGTTGAGCTGGTGCTGAAGGGCCTTGCTGCTCCCATTTCCTATTAAATTGAAGGTTGCAGAGCCCAGTGGAAGTGGAAGCTGCAAATGTGCCTTCTTTTTGTAATCAAGGGTACTGTGTCGCAGGGAAAGATCTTTTTTCTGAGACTGTGGTTTAGGTATTAGACAAAAATTCAGATGTTCGACAAAAATTCACCCCGCTATTGAAGTTCGTCTCTTCTAAATGGCAGATGGGTCATCAGAACTTTACAACACAGGGACATATTCCTCAGTAGAGCAACTTAGCAAGGGAGACTGGTCAGCGCTTGGAGTGCCTAGGACTCAGCGTCCTGTCCTTTGGCCAGCATCAGAGGGCAGGACTTTGGGGATAATTTTGATTCCATATATGGTGTATGGATGTAACTTAACACAAAAGAAAATGGGGTATTTTGACCATAGGTTTGCCAAAATAAATTCTTTTAAGGGTCTGTACTTGTGGTTCTGCTGAAGCTAAAGGGAATGCATTCTGGAAAGGCCGTTGGACAGTGCTGGGGCAGGGATGGCTTTTCAGGTCTTTCCTTTCTCCTGCTTGTGGATCACAGTCACAGTGCCCGTTCCAAGCCACGAAACTGGGCAGTGCCAGCCTATGCCTGGAGTGGTGGAAGTTCATGGAGATAGGCTTGAAATTTACTTACAGCTATTCCATGTTAATATATTTTTCTAGTTATGCGTAATGATCAAGGAGTGTAATGATGGTTTGGGAGAGTGTAGAACTTGCTTATTTACTGGCTTTTCTTTTTATAGATCTACAGCATGAGCTTGCGCCTTTCTGCCTTCTTTGAGGAGCATATAAGTTCTATTTTGTCAGATTATAAATCTGCCCTACGTTTTCATAAAAGAAACACAATAAAGAAACGAAGGAAGAAAAGAAGTAGAAGCAGCTCCGTTTCGAGTAGTGTTGCATCCAGGTACATTCATTTCTTTACAGTGCTCATGAAACACTCTGCAAGTTTGACATGCCTAAATATTAGATAAGTATTAGAACTTGGTGTTTTTTCTTCCTTTTTTTTTTTTTTTTTAATACTTCCTTTACTATTCCCTATATTGCAGAATGATAGATTTGACATGCAAGTCCCTATGATGTGGAAGATTTTTAAACTTTAACTAGAGCTATCCTAGTGTAAGTGGTTAAAATTCGAGTAACTGCTAAACATGTGCAATAAAACAGCATCGTTAGGATAGCGGTAGCATCATGTCTTGTCATATAACTATAGCATTTGCTGAGATCCTTTGCTGGAGATCCGCTTTTCAGGGGCTTACAACTACCTGAATTTCCACAATAAATGTCACATTTTTAACATATTTCATGCAGAAATGATCAGTTTACTCCCTCAAGCCTAGATATGAGAATTTAATTTTATTTATTCCTATAAAATAAAAAGTGGTCGTGGAGTTTACATGCCGCTATTCATTTTGCAGCCCTGAGAGGAAGAGAAGATTAATAAAACCTCAGCTGAAGGCAGATAGTTCTGCCCCCTCTTCATCTTCTGCACCTGTGAGAGCAGCACTGAGACATGTTCCAGCCCAGATGAATGGAAAAGCAGCTGAAGCTTCGTCTCTTGTGCGGACTAGAAGCAACAGGGCAATAACAGACGTGGCTGTTCCGGAGCAACCATCTACTTCTGCAGGGGGAAAGCCTGTGGCAATAAAGCCTTTAATTGCGAAGCCCAATACTGCTGCTGGGTCGGGCAAGTCTGGTGAGTTAAGGACGACAAAGAGCACTGTGAATATTTTTAAGCACAATTCTTGCTTTCTGGCCATCTAACTTGTCTCAGTTAAGAGTGGTCCTAAGTGCTTAAGCTGTAGGAAGTTAGGAATCCTCTTAAGGAGACAAACTGCAAAATTTTGCTATGCTATTTTACTCATGAAACCTTTTCCCTTCCAGATCTCTGATTCAGATTCTTTTATAGAAGAGCTTGAGTGACTTCTGTTTTAGCCAGAAAAGATTGAAAGTGGTGTAATCTCCTTAAAAATGGATTGCTGAAGTTTTCTCTCTCTTTTTTTTTTTTTTTTGTCTTTTTAGTACTAGAGAATTCAACCAAACATTCCAAGAACCAGAATATTTTACCAATTCCTACTCAATCTGATTATGGTCATAACACTAGGAATAACACCACAAAAGAAAATCCTGAAAAAGAGAAGCAAATCAAGCGCAAAGTAAAATCATCCACTGTTATTCAACAAGGTAAGGATTTGTTATAACATTTTATCCTCCAGGTAGTGACGTAGTGGGTGTAGTTGCAGCTTAGTCTTGATGATTTTAGGGTGAGGAAATTAGTGTGTATTAAGATGTAATGAATAAGAAGATCTAATTAACAGTTTCTTGTTAGACAATTTGCATGGTTTTGACTCTTAAAACCATTTTCGTGCTTTAATCATACCAGTTTTGGCATGCTAACATATCATAACTTAATATGGATTATTACAAGTGTAATGTTTTCAGTTTATTATAAGTACGCAAGTGATGAATTCTAAGATCCCAGAGCAGACTTTCAAAGGGTCATGCTGTTAACTCTGCAGACTTTTCCCTGTGGTATTCATCCAGCTTATTTGGGTTAGTAACACTGTCTCTGCAACCAGGAGTATGAAGATCAGAGCATCTCTGTGATTTGGGTCCTCCTTTATTTCTCTGTAGCAAGTGGCAAAGCTTTAGAGTGTTTGTGTGGGTGGATGGCCCTAGTTTCATGTAATCTTCTCACTAAGATTACTTGCTCTTCTGACATGGGGTTAGGTTCAAAATCAAGGCTGCTGTGGAGACACACCTCCAAGCTACAGAGACTTTATTGCTTATCAAGCAGCTATGATACGAGCATAGTTGCTAGATCTGTACTACTATGATACTGTATGTTGAGGGGAAAAATGGGTATTTTAGGGTACAGCGTTGTTAGATATAAACAGTGTGTTAAAATTCTGCCCTGGTACTGGGCAGGGTATTGCATCCTATTGCACTCCTGAAGAAACAACTGAATGTGCATATAAAAAGCCCTAGCTACTTCTCAAGAAAGAGCAGATCTGGTTTGTAGGTGAAAAATGATAAGTGTAAGTAAGTTTTCAGTTCTCAAGAGAAGCAGGAGAAAATTTAGAGGTAAAGGTCTCCTCAAGTGATCTGGTGTGAAATTTTAAAAATACAGATTTTTGTGGACAAATACCTTCCAGGATTCCTCATGATTCCTCACGAAGCTATCATTTATTTGGAATGGGAAGCACAAATAGAGGGGTTACATAATATGTCATGTCAAAGTGCTGCATCCCACAGTACTTGCCAAAGTTTTATTTGTGGTTCATCTTTGGGTCTTGGCTTTTGACAATCTGGCAATCACTGTTTATCTGTTATAATGCCTTTTGCTAACAGTGTTTTATTAAGCCAGTGTGAAAATGAGTGTAGGTGCAGATGTGTTCTGTGACACTTGCTCTCCTTTCCCCATGGCAGAGTGCAAGAACAGCGCTTTGGCGTCGGGCAGCGTGCAGGTGAACGGGCACGGAGCGCCACCTGCAAAACCACCAGCTAAACGGGGTCCCGGGCGGAAACCGAAGGTGGAGACCAACTCTAATAACAGTAGCTGCGAAGTGGTGCACAAGAAGAGAGGCAGAAAACCAAAAAAGCTGCAAGTTGTTGAGCAGAAGGTTGTAGAGCAGAATACGATCCAGACCACGAGGAATCCCCCAGAAGAAGCATCTGCCTCCACTGCGTGCAATTCTCTTTCTGAAAATAATATGAAGGAAGACTTGTTACAAAAAAAAGGCCGTGGGGGTAGGAAGCCCAAAAGAAAGATGAAGACGCATCAGCCAGGCTCGGACCTTGTAGCTCCTGCAAACGTTAAAATGCAAACGAGAAGCAGGAGGAAAAAGATAGATGAGCCTATGGAGGAGGGGTCTGAAGAGCTTAAAGATTCTGAGCCTCACATGAGAACTAGAAACCAGGGTAGGAGGACAGCCTTTTACAATGAAGATGACTCTGAGGAAGAGCAAAGGCAGCTATTGTTTGAAGACACCTCTTTAACTTTTGGAACATCTAGTCGAGGCAGAGTCCGAAAGTTGACTGAAAAAGCAAAGGCGAATTTAATTGGGTGGTAATTTGTACCGAGGGTTTTACTCCAGAATGCTTTGAAGCAGGTACAGTTAAGGAACGAGCAGAACGCAGACTTCTGCTTCCCTGCTGCTATTATCGGTTAGAAGAATGTGTTCTGATTTGGGGAGAAAAATCTAGCAAAAAATAAACTGAAAGAACATTCTTTGAAAGAAATATATATTTTAAACTTTTGCTATTTATTGCCCTCCAAATAGGTTATGCATTTCAACAGTCATTTTGTTCATAGTTGAGAATAATCGAAGCAATTTCTGACTGACTTACAGAATTGAGAATTACTCTGCTCTTGAGTAGTGCATATTGTCTCTACATATTTAAATAAAAAAAAAAAAAAAAAAAAGATGATAGAACTGTTAATGCCACAAACTGAGAACAGAAGTCTATTTTTGACCAAGCAAGGTACAGTTTTACTGATTGTAAAGTCAAGTCTCCAGGAAGGCAGATTTTGGCAAAAAGTGGCAGTAAATTCACTTACATTTCTATCAAATACAATTGCAAAAATACCAAACTTTGCTAATCTGAAAATGTTTAATTTCAATAATGATGGAACATTCGACTGCAAAAGAAGCCTAGCACAGGCTGTTGGTTTATCCAAGTTCTGCCAAACATAGCAAAAATGTAATCTCAATTTATATATATATCCACATTGGAAAAAGTTTGACTAATGTCTAATTTTTCAGACCTTGATTCTTGTATCAATCACTAAATCTCTGTTTATTGTGCCAAAGACTGAGAATCAGTGCAGTGGAAAACCCTTTTTTTTTTTTTTTTTTTTTCCTTCCTTTCTTGTTGAGTGTCAGTACAGCATACAGTTTGCAGTGATCAAAGCTGTGTATCGTTTTAAATTGTAAGTTAACATTGTTCTGAAATGTATCCTTCTTGGTACTTACGGTAGAAAATAATGCACTGGTGGGGTCCTTTGACAGAGATGCTTTGGGCAAAATGTATAATTGGTTAAAGGATTCGAGGAAATTACAGGACAGGTATGGAATTACCGTGTTTACTTTCTGGTCCGTATAGATCGTTGTTTCTACAACTTTAGACATGCTTAAAAGGCTAAAAAAATGACCTACAAAGAATATTGTGTATGTATATATTACTATATACATAAACACAGAAAATATTACCCAGGTATAAATTCTTTTTTCAGGATTTTTTAGATAGCACTAGAATTGAAAATAAATTTTAAAATGTCATACTTTCTAGTTTAATTTTAAGGGGAAGATTGGTTATTTTCAATTATTAAGGTTAAAAAGGCCAAATCACTTTTTATGCAATCATGTTTTATACAGTGGTCTCATTGCACATTGTGTTTTTCTGCACTTTTTATGGTATATCACGCTGACATTAGTCAATATACACCCTAAAGAAAAGATTCCATTTAATGATTGTGCCTTGTATTCTATTATTTCTTGCATCCTTAGTAAAATTAAGTTGTCTATTGTAAATGATAACTATATGACTTAGGGGAATGTATTACTATATGTACTGCTCTGGAAAAGAAAAGCAGTTATTTATTTGTTTATGGTACATTTAGTTATTTTATACCTTTTCAAACAAACTTTAATACCATTTTCTATCACTTAAAACTTATTGTCCAATTTTAAGGAAAAAATACAGAAGTAGTAGTATTTTCTGAGATCTGGTATGGTACAAAAATGTAACCAAAATTTTCAGATTTTATCTTGTTTTGGAACTTTGGATAGTGTGAAAGAATTCTTGTGTGACCCTAACTTAGGTGGAAAAATAAACCTGACGTGAAAGCGCAGCTCTGCACACCCTCACTTTATAAGGATTCTTCTTTTGCAACAATGTCGGCAACATCTGGAAGGAGAGGCCTGCAGAATTAAGACCATAAATTTGCACAGATTCTGTTTGCTTATTTGGGGCCAAATTCTTCACTCTTTATTTTCTGTTACAAAAAAAAAAAAGAAAAAACTTAAATGTTTCAGCAAAGAATGTTGGTGTTTGGCACAGAGAGGAGTAGAAATAAGCTAATTTGGATGGCAAATTGGTATCCACCATACTTAGTTTAATATAGTTCATTACCCATTTTGTTACAAAAATTGAGTAAAGTGTTTTCCAGATCCTCACTGAATTGCTTTGGTTATGACTTTGGGGAGCAGGGTTTGTGTTTCATTTGTATATTTATTTTTTCTAGAATGCATTTCCTTATTTTTCAATTAAAATGGAGTCATAAACATATAGTAAGATGGAAAGCGATGGTTGTACAGTTACGAGACAGCTTCACATTTCAAGGCTAGTTAATTCAACCGTTTAATTTTTTGAAATCTCACTGATGAAGGCAATCATTTGAAAATGTGTAATTTCCTGATGTTATCTGCATTGTAATATATGAAATAGATTATATCTAAAATTCAATTTCTGTATTTACTCCATTTGTAATAATGTTTTATATGGCATGTTTATGTATATATTTATATACCGAAAATACTTGTATGTAAATTTTGGAACCTAAAATAATATGCATTCCCTTAGCAGTAGGTAGAAAATTACACATCTTAATTTTACGAGAAGGCCTTACCTGCGGAACAAGGGTACTGCTTCCCTCCCAATAATATTGGTGACTTTAGCCCGTTACTTTTTAAATTCGTCCTAGGCACATTGCTGTTTTTCCTTTAAAGTGAATTGTGCATAATTTGGGTCATTTTTTTTTTTTTTTCAGAAGCAACACTAAAAATTTGAGTAGAAGTTAATACCAGATTTATTTAAAAATATATTTTTATAATTTAGCTTCCCTAGGTTGCAAACGTTTTATTTATGAGACTTCAGTCACCGTCAGACTGTGTGCATTTTGGTTGGGAAAAATACATTATTTGCCATTGCGAAATACTGTATCGACACGGAAAAAGAGCTTTTGATTCTGACTTTTTTAAGTTTTTAAATGTGAGCAATAAACTCCTCATGTTTTGAAATAATTCAAGAACTATAGTTCCATGCCTGTCGCAGGCAGCGACCCGGCCGCAGGAAACGGAGCACGCGGATGGCGATGGCTGGCGGGCGGGGCGGCCGCTGACCGTTGTGTCCGTTAGACTCGTTGTGGCGCGGTCGGGAGGCCGCTGGCCGCTGCGCGGGGGCGGCCGCTGCCCCTGTGCCTGCGCCAGCAGCTCCGCTCGCTCTGCTTCCCTTTTGCCCTGTGATCCGGGAGCTGAACTGAAATTTTGCCACTCTATTTATTGTTCATGATTGTCCGTTTGGAACTAGAGTCCGTTGTCACTGTGCACTGCTCCAGTGATGCCACCTTCCCGAGAAATGTCTTCCTCCAGTGATGAGGCTGCTGTGATAAATATTTGCCTATGTTTATTTGTACAGTGTCCGGTTTGTACATGTGTGACCAGGTTGTTGTTAGACTTGTAAGATTGAGTTGATTGAGTTAAATATTACTATGGCTTAATATTTGTAAAACTGTTAATTGATAAAGGACCCTGATGCAGCACGTAGGATATATTAGTATCTATAAAAAAATAAATTGTAGTGTAGAGACAACTTATTCACTGTATTGCTATACAAATATTTTTCAAGTACCAGTTTTGATTCTGTACGAGGCTTTCGCCTTACCCCCCAAAAAAGAAGGCATACAACACAAAAAATAGTCCGTCCATTCGGTAACTTCAACTTGTCACAATTTTTACACGACATTGTCAAATCTCCTGCTCATGTTTGCTGGATCAAGAACTACAAGTCAGTGCTTCAGTGGGTAATTCGGATTTGGATGCATAATAAGTGCTTGACTGTTCACGTAAAAGCAGTAGGCCGAGCTGAATGGGGCCCTTTTGCCCCATACATACATACGTGTTATATTGAGGCTGGGAGTTTATAATCTCAGTTTCATCAACATTCAAATTTAATTTGAAGTACTTGAATCTTGGTAATTTTAACTGTTGCTGGTCAGTCAAGGTTCAGCCATTATCACAAGAACTGCTTTTTGTCCAGAGTCCTCACCTTATCCCAAGGTAGTAGGTAGTTTTACCAAAAAAAAAATATATATATATATGTATATATTTTTAAGTTTTTTGTTTTTTTTAACTTAATTGAATGCTTAAGAATTTAATTACAACTCTAAAAGTGCTGTGAAACAGAAGGGCATTAAAATCTCACCTGGAAACAGCAAAATCTCATTTTCTGTTTACTACCTAATGAAGACAAATTACTGGTATAAAATTACTATATATTTTGTCTTTTTTCCCTGAAGTTCTTGTACCAGGATTGGTTTCCAAGGGGACCTAGATATTCAACAGATAAAAGGGCTGTTTGTTTTCTGCTGTAAATTATTGTAGATAAAGGCCTGTTTATGTGCAGAAGAAAGTGTATTAAATTTCACAAGATTGGCCAAGCCGGATGACACATTTGTGGTAACCAGCCTCGTCCCAGCAGCTCCCGCAGTTGCAGCTGCCGGGGCAGCCAGGAACACCGCCCGTCTGCTCGGCTGTGCCCAGCTCCGAGACAGAGCCGCCCTCCAGGTGCTCTTGCGTTTGAACGTGCTGGTTTCAGTGGGGACATTGGCCATGTAGTTCTGAGGTGTGTTAGAGCAGGAAACGCTCCAGGAAAGCTCCTTTAAAAGACATCTTAAATTGCAGGAAAAGGGGATTCTTGTTTGTTTTCTTTTCCAAGGTTGTGGCGGCCCCAGTAAAGGCATTCGAGAGAAACCTCGTATGCTGCAATAAAACAGGGGAATAAATTTAGCTTTTAGGAGGTAGGTAGTGAGACAAGTAGACCTTTTGGATCCTTTCTAATGCAGATAAATACATCAGGAAATTCACTTTAGATAATGCAAACAATACTTTCTTGGGAGGGAAGGTAGTGATGTTTTTCTACCATGAAAGAACAAAAAACAAGGTCATACAAACAGGGAGTATAAAGACATTTACTGTAAGTACTTGTTGTGTACACAGGCCTATACGATGTACTGTTTTGTGCTCACGACTTTGCATGTTGGTTTGCTGATATCGAGACCATACAGAAGTTACATTTTTGGACCATACTAAAACTTTGGTACTATGGCAGACAACTGGATAACGATCATGAGTGAATTAAATTCTGTCATAAAGTTTAAATATATATAAAATGGAGCTCAACTTTAAGGAAATTGCCTGCAATGGTTAATTTTTAAACTGACACATTTTCAGATGAAAAATTACGCTTATTTTGTACAGAATTCTGTAAAACACACAAATCTGTTGTACGTAATGAGTAACAGTTTTCAAAGCTATAATTCTTCAGCTTTGTCAAAGTGTTTTTGTTTTTTTGTTTGTTTTTTGGTTTTTTTTTTTTTCTTTCCAGGAATCTGGATTATCATG